TCTTTACCACGAACGCTAAAAGCAGACACCGTGCAATCCGGATTCGAGAGTAAAGCCAAGGGAAGCAGACCAAATCGATAGAGATACCAGCTGCGTGAGCTTGGACCTTGACAACACACACACCGAGGTGGCGACTTCGAGTGCTTAGGCTCCTGATCACATCACAAAGTCGGTAAACAAAAGAACTACCACAACTGCTTCGATCAATGACATCAAAATTACACTAAGATCAGAGTGAGAAACAAGTATTTGTAAAGGCGCGATCATAGGAAAATTACCGCTAGTGCAAGAGAAAACACATGCCCAGGTGAGGAACGAATTGCTGTGAACGCAGTGCTGCCACCCGCCGATGAATCAATCAGTAGAACAACCGATACCGGCAAAAGATCTCCAAATGTAAGACCATCTAATACATCTTATGTGTCTTCTGAAAATAACCATCGCCGCCAAACCGTTACTCATATCCCCAAAGTGGGTGAGGCTATAAAAATTATTTGGATACTCTCGTGTATTGTCTTCCAGCGAACATCCGAAATAGTTCAAAAAAAGTATAGTGTTAGGAATAACTGGTGAACGCTGCCCTGTACCTCACCCCATACACATAACGACAAGCACGAACAAACTGTTGCAAACAGCTGTTTTTAGAGGAAGCGGCAGTGGTCTCACACTCATTCCCAACACTGGTACATGCACCCTTTCCTTATTCAACTTGTCCAGATGCGAAGGATGACCCAATACCAGGCCAGTCACAAGTTGCAGCCAATGCTTAAACAAATTCCTTACTGCAATCAATTTTAAAGTTCACTTGGAATAAATGGTCCCTGCGCCCGAACATACCAGCAGTGGAAACAACAGCATCATCTCTACCCCCGCATCCACCCTCGGTTCCTACAAATGCATGCTCAAATACGTTCGATAATCCCCAACCAGATATCGCCGGATTCCCGTAAAACAAAACAGATATAACATCATCATCAATGGATAGCCCTGAACTGTTGCAACCACTAATGAACTCACCTTATCAATTGTTTTGCGGGTGCATTCTGCTGCTTAATGCACGCAACAATAAAAACAAAATTCACTCCTTACGCTCACTTATCTCACTAGCTGATGCACAAATCATACCTGTGACAGAAATGTGGCTAATGGAAGATACTCCTGAGGATAACTACCACATAAGAGTTGATTTTTAGGTCTTGGTTTTCAGGGTTTGAAACACCCACATAAGGAGTTATAAGTGTTTTATTGGTCGTCGTAAGTCCAAGCAAGGAGGTGGTAGCGCCATATACGTTCACAATGCCGTGTGCGCATCAAAGGCCAATGTTCCCTCACCTGCGTACTTCAAAACTCCGTGTTTCTGAATGCACACGTTGATAGCCACGGTGTTACTCCTCGGATGTATATACATCCACCCCAATTCCAGTGTCGCAGAAGTTAACGCACTACAAGATATGTTCTGTGATATAGCAGACCAACCCGTCAAGTATAAGATAATTGGTGATGATTTCAACATGTCGGATGTAGCGTGGACCTCAAGCTGTGTACATACCAAATACCCGAATCTGGCCTCATCTCTACACTCATACGAATGGATCCAACATGTTAGACCGCCAACTAGAAAGGACCATACCTTAAACGTACTCTTCACCACTGGCATATTACCAGCATCCACTGACCTTCCTGAGCACTTTCCTTGTGGCGCTCACAGAATAGTATCATTTGCATTCACGGATCCCACACGATACCAGACATCAGCCGCGCCCAACTTTTAAATACATACCAAAAAATATAAAGAGGTCGACTGGGATCTGTTCGCCAAATTAAAAAGAGCTGCTCAATGGGACAGATATTTCCTTACTGAAGAACAGCAACATTTATATATGTACTGGTGCACTTGCTCCCATTGTGCTGTACACTTTCATCGCAGTAACAAGACGTATATGTCATGTAGAACTACCCTAAAGTTCAGAAGGCTGCTAACCGTATATCGTAAAACAAATGACTTCTCCTTCTTGGCACAACACCAAAAGCTTATCACAACTCTGCAACTGGCATGTCATAACAAAGTGATAACTGATGAAAAAATGCCCTAGGCAGCCAGCATAAAATTCGCGATCTAGTCAGCATTTTAAAGTAGGAATACTAAACGAAGTCAAGACAGCATCTCGCTGGTTGCGGCAGATAAGCACATAATGACTGACCCGACCCACATCAGTGAAAGTTTTGGTCAGTACTTCTGCGGCTCCTTTAACGTGGATAATGAGCCTCCACGACTGGATATACCACCATCAACGGTTGGTCAACTCACGCGTATCAAGTTTGAACTCAGCGACAAACAAAAGGTTGTAAACTACACAATAATATCCTACTTCGGCGGACCAGATAATGTACCTCCTGCACTTAACAAACTTGTTTCTATGGAATATGTTCACCATATCCATGGACTCTGACATTGTACCAACACGGTGAACAGAATCCATTGTCATACCACGACAAAAATCAGGCTCTCTGTTCAAACCAAAGAATTATCGTCCGATAAATCACACATCGACCTTATTCAAATTGATGGAGCGGCATATAAAACCGCTACGGTCGACTTCCTACTGTCTCGTAAGTCAATCAACGACTCACAGCACGGTTTTCTGAATGCTCTTTTATGCATAACGTACTCACTGGAATTTCGACATCATCTAACTGCCTCACAGAATAATGGCAAGTTTGCAGTTGTTATTTACTTTGATGTACACAAATCTATCAATTGAGTGCCACATCGAACACTAATATCCGAATTGATGCCCTATGGAATCGGGGAACTCCTACCTTCATGGTTCATATTGTATCCTATGAGTGGAACACAGCTAGTGCAGTTGCAGGAACACAAATCTGAACCAACAGCAGTCACAGGTGGTGTAGTACAGGATAGTGCCCTTTGTCCTATACTGTTTTTGATGTATGTTATCAACATATTTGATACTGTGAAATTCGGAACTCCATACATGTTTGCCGACGATATCAAAACTATTTACACTTTCCACCCAGCTATCAAAAACGAGAATACCAATAGGATCCAGCTCGATCTCCCAGCGTTCGGAACCTGATGCTCAAAGTGGGGCATGTTATTTGCAACAGATAAGTGTTAAAAATGCGACATAACATTTAGCAGTGTAACCATTTGTGCTAGGCAAATTAAAATATGCCATACTGTTCGGGACCTGGAACTTAGACACTCATGATCGCTCAACTTCTCTGAACATGTAGCTTACCTCACTGCAAAGACCAGACAAAGCACTCTGATGTTATTTAAAACTTTCAAAGTAATGGAATCCATGCTCTGCCCTTATTCATTACTTTCACGTCCTATTTTGGAATACGGCTCGATGGTGTACGGTAGTGTAAACAAACGAGACAGCATTGTACTAGCAAATGAACAAGGAAGATTCACAAGGCGCCTATTAGGAACATCAGCGAAATTAGAATATGCTGAAAGATGTGAAAAACACAAGCTTGATCCCATCTGGTTGAAGCAAACGAAGAACAATGTAATCATATTCTATAACATTCTGCACAAGAAAATATATGTTTCCAAATTTAAGATGAAAATAATACATCGTCATCCTGCAACACACGTAATAACAAAAATGCGGTATTGGAATGCAGGTCGAAGACCACCAGATTCACTAACTTCTTCCTTAACAGATATGCACGAATCTGGAACAAATTGCCAACCAATATCCACACTAGCGATCCATAGCAGGAATTACAAAAAATGACCAGTAGATACTTGACCGTGCAAAGTATGATCCATTTATTTGGATGTAAAATAACGAACAGCCAAGTATACAAACGGGGTTCAGGATTTATATGATCCAGAAAGCAGTCTACAACCCAGAGCGAATATTGCAATTGTAAGGTCCCTGTACTCACCATCTTCATCTTTTTTCCTCCTTCTCACATATGCCAACGACAAAGTTGTCACTAACAAGTGTGTTATGTGGGAGCAACTCAAATAAACACACCACATTCTCTGTTTTCATTGTCGATGTTCCTACTACTTTTATTGCAGTTTACTCTTAAGTTGATTTTTTATAGGTGCTCCTCTTGCTCCGGTTTCATGTGAATGCCACTACCAGAATTCAATACTACTAAATAGCCATCAACATAGCTGTCACCAAATGCGCTAAAATAAAATTGATACCTACTTTATACATCCTCGTATTAAACTTTTCAAGCGACCTACCAAACCTGATATTGACACCCTGTACAACATCACGTAACGTCTTGAAAAAACAGGCAACTTTGATACCCTATCAACATTGAAAAACGATTTTCATTACTGATGTAGATTTTTCCATCATTCGTGGTCGTTAAATTAGAAACGCTTTATTTACCAGTATATGCCATCACAGGCGTGTCTCACCAAAAACGAGAATATGCTATTTAGTTATTTAGTTAGTTAGTTATAACATGTTAGTTAGTTATAACATGGACGACCATTTCAAAGCCGGATAGACAATTCCATCGAACTTTTAGCAGAAAGCCTAAGTTTTTATTTGAAGTTGAAAACAATGCACCAAGACTGAAAAAGGGATAGCAGAAAAACAGATGTAGACATAACACATGGTGCCAATCTGTACTTGCAAGAAAAATCCCATTCTGTGGACTAATGAGCAATGGAGTTTGCAACAGTAGTTAAAAGCTTCCAATTTAAGGCATCAAACTGTTGGCTGTGGGCTTTAATCAATATGCAAACCCTGTGTTTGGCAAGCAATCTGGCAAAAGGGTTGACTCAGGTAACACACTGAAACAATAGACAACTTTTATGCCCAATCAAAATTGAAAATCGATTCTCATTGCTAATGTAGATTTTTCGATCATTCGTGGTCGCTGAAATAGAAAATACTTTATTTACCAGAACGTCGTCACAGGCATGTTTCAGTAGAAAAACGAAAAGATACCATGCGAGGCAAATTATGACACAAATAGCAAATGCAGTGACTTGCATTTCGCCTTCTGGAGCGTATTTCGACCCGGTAATTTCAAAATGCTGCACCTCGGCACCTTTCTCGTCCCCTTTGGCGAAGATGAACATACGACAGACGCTCATCTGATTAGTGGTCAGGGTACCTGTCTTATCGGAACAAATCACACTGGTACAACCCAAAGTTTCCACTGATGGTAGAGACCTGACGATTGCATTTTTTGCAGCCATACGGCGTGTTCCCAGTGCCAAACAAGTTGTTATCACAGCAGGTAGACCTTCAGGAATGGCGGCTACAGCCAATGCCACAGCGATTTTAAAGTAGTAAATTGCTCCTTTGATCCATGATCCTCCGTGAGCAGGGTCGTTGAAATGGCCTATATTGATTGCCCATACTGCTACACAAATGATGGAGATGACCTGGCAACAGATGTTTGACATAAAGCTTAAATTTAGAGGCGATAATATCAAAGTATATGTGCACGGGCTTTAATGGGCAATAATGAATAGGTGACGGAAGGTGAAACCCCTGGTCGAATGGCTGTTGGATTAGAATCAGACACCCCATCAGCGTTACTCTTGGGGAGTTTTATGGACAAAGCCAACAAAGCGAAGTAGAAAATTTCGCCCATGTATTTAGGATACTTTCAGTAACGGCGCAGCTAATACATCACAGCATACAACATCGATTCTAGAATAGTGTACGAAACACAAGTAAAGATTTACAACAAGTTTCCCCCTTATAATTCCAAACAGAAAAATCAGAGGACCTAGATTGTGTGATGACGTCGTTATTTCGACGACTAGGCAATGTAGGTCCCACTGTCTATATAAATTCACCTGTAGCTGCGGAGCTGGCTACGGTGGGCATACTAACCGAAGTTTAAGTGTCAGAGTCAATGAACATATCCACAAGTGGTTACGCAGCTGAATGGTGTCTGCAGCGACGGAATCGGTTGAATCGGGATACCGAACCGCCTTGGCAGTCACAAAGCACTTGCTTACCACCGGCCACCTAGTCAATCCTGATGAGCCCCTCACTGTCCTATTGTGCGACCGGCGGCCTCACATACTTAGGCTATTGGATGCCATCGGTATCGATCGGGAGCGATCGCCGGTATGTAATCAAAAACAGCTGACTCTGACTTTAAGCTTACCCTGGTAGCTCAAATCTGGAGCTATATGTCTTTGACATTGTTGGTTGTTCAGTCACACATCATTGCTGAATATTTTTTGTGATGGATAAGAAGGCACGAAATGGCGACGTCATCTCATAATCTACGTCTTCTCATTTTCCTGTTTGGGACAAGTAAATATGTTTAACTAAGGTCAGTCGTGGCTACTGATTCACTAAAGTGTGCGCTGATAAGGACGAGCTTTGGCTTTGTGAAGGACCATGGTATGTCAAGTTTCAATGATAAGGTTGTGCTGTTTATTCGGATAACTGCTTGCCTGTACACAGCCACACCACATTTACATAGCTTCGTGTTTACCAAGTATTATTCTTGATACGGTAAAAGCTAGGCACATTAATGTCGTCCTTCTTTGTGCTGTAGCTCAGCCCGACTGTGTCTAGAAATATGCAAGTCCTGTTGACATATCAGCCTCAAGGAATGTAGCTAGCTCGGAGAATGATCGTTAACAAGCTCTGCTCCTGGTTCCCATTGGTAGGGATTCGCCTTGGCGCACTTAATTTACTAGCAAATGGAATAGACAATTGGTTTAAAGTCCAATAATTCTCATTAAATGTGCCTATAAACTTGAGATCATTATAGATTTCTTATCATTCAAAGCAATAAATTAATGAACCAGGGTAAAGAATAGTTTACACGTTTCATAGTCCTTTCGGAGATGAATAAAATGTGGTCATAAAAACAGATTTGGGTTCAAATCATCAGTGAAGTGGTACATAAAGCAAAACTGTCGCCGGCCTTGAAGCAGTCATTAAAAGTTAGCAAAAAATGTTCGCGATACACTAGTGACTTAGTAAACGTGTCGGGATATAAAGAGATAGTTTAATTTAAGAAAGATGAATGCACCACGGAATTCTCAATCGACTCGATCAAGCATCCTTAGCTCAATGAAGTACCCAGTAAAGTGGGAACAAACCCTTCTTTTCTACGCTGTGCCTAGAAGTTTCAGGTGTTCCTCAATGGGTTATGAATCCGCGAACCATTTAATTTTGCCTCATATGCTCTGCGGAGAACAGTTGTGCTGGAGAATGTGATACAACGTCTTCTAAGTTCAGACTGATTGGTCCCTGACTAATATATAGGTTTTTAAAAAGCACATCGTAAACTGACATCGGAACACGTAAGGAAAACTATATGGTGCTCTTGAATATATCATTCATGTGAGCATAATAAAGATCATTAACAACAGATTTAACTAAGCCTTCGAAAATATTTACTTACACTGCTCAACAGCATTGTTGTGACAGAAATGAGATGGGTGTTGCTAGTAGTACCAAGTGAACTGTTTTTAACTATGCGAACCAAACGTTTCTATTACGTCGGGTTTTTGGTTAATTTCAGTTTTTCACTTCAGCTAATTAGTGCGTTCCATGCCTCGAATACGCGTCTGTGATTGGTCCATTGGCTCCCTGTAACCGTATAAAAGAAGTTATCTTGGCCATGGTATACACTTGATACTCAAAGTCGATTGACAGCTGTTTCTTTAATTGCGAACTTGATCATGACCCAAAGACGTTGCTGTGTCAATGACCGGAATCATTTTTGTTACCTCTGTGGACAGTTTACTACAAAGTCGCAATACAGACCCATTTCTTCACTATTGAAGTCTGACTACCACGCATATTTCTAAATGAAAAGAGATCGGGATATAAAGTGGGCGACACACATTGTTTGTGCATCGTGCAGTCTCCATCTGACTCAGTTGCTCAAGGGCAAAGGCCCTGGATTTGCGTGACGGACCATTCCAGGTGCCTACGAGGTTGAGCTTCGAAACAATCCACCATATTTCCATCCTGTATCCGCTTCGCTATATCCGATTCCGGCCAGCCAGGAATCGTACGAAAGCTCGCGATTTGCTCTCTCGTGGCCGCATCACTCGACCCGTGTTCAGTCCTGTGGGCTTCGCTAGCGGCGTATTTGTCCGATTCATCACGTTCATGACGAATACCTCCTCCGCTGTTCTGTGCCCATGCTCGTTACCAGATGCCTCTCGTGATTTTCTACAAGCCTCTTTAGTGCTAACCATTGTACTGGAAAAGTACAGTCGCTTAAGTTGGCTAGAAAAACAGACAAATCCTTACCGGCATCTTCACTGACAGCTAGCCGCTTAGAACGAGATACTACAGTAGCATCAGATGTCAGCACGTGTTCAACGGACGGGTTTGTCGGAAGGACATAATAAGCGGTTATTCCGTGCATCTGCAAAAAAATTGAGCTTCGGAAAGACGAAGTGAGTTTCCATGGGCATGTGTTAACCACTCAAAGGATCTGCGTCGGTCCAGGAAAAATCAAAGAAATACGAGAGATGCCACCTCCTAAGGATGTGAAGGGAAGCCATCGCTTGAACGGCATGGTAAATTATTTGAGCTGTTTAATGCCTAGATATCATGATGCTGATCAGTAAGTTAACACACAAATGAGTAGAGTTGGGGAAAAGAACAGGAAACCGCGTTTGCAACTATTAAGCACCTTATCAGCAATGCGCCTGTACTCGGATATTACGATCCAGCCCAGCAACGGGAGGTACAGTGTGGCAGTAGCTAGGACGGAAGAGGTGCTGTTCTCTGACAGAATGGATTTGGATTTCTGGAGTCGAGCACTCACTGTGACCGACCGACACTATGCGCAGATTGAGATGTTCGCGGTATTCTATGACATAGAGGCTTTCAACGATTATACTTTAGGAAGAAAGACAACTGTGGATATCGAGCATAAACCGCTTGTGTCGAAAGCCGGTAAACCACTGCACATCGTTCCTCCTCATCTTCAGCGTTTGCTTATCCGGCTCCAAAAGTACGACGTGGATGTTGTGTATATGCCTGGTGCACAGATGTTCATCGCGGACACACTGTCAAGGGCTAATCTACCGGTACCTGAGCGTAATCCAGAAGAGGTAGAAGCAGTAAACCTAGTACAGCATCTAGCAGTGGTGGAAGATCGTCAGAATAAACCAACGCGCCTCACAGAGGAAGATACATCATTTGCAGCTCCACGAGACTTTATTATATGTGGTTGGTCAGAAATGAAGAAGCAGCTACCTAAGGAGCTAACACCCTACTTCAATTTCCCGGATGAACTGTCTAGAATGGGTTGCAAGCCTATTCTGATTCCGTCATCGCTCCGAGGAGAATAGCTGAAATACGTTCATCGAGCTCACCTTAGTGCCAACTATACCACTAACCGAGCAAGAGAATTAATCTTTTGGCCAAGAATGACGGGTCAAATCAGAGATCATGTGTCGAATTGTGAGTCGTGCCTTTCACACGAAATCCGGCAGACGAAGGAACCAATGCTGTTGCATGATGTCGCTGATCGACCTGGGCAGAAGGTGAGGCTGAATGTATTCAGTGACAGTGGGACAGATTACCTACTCACAGTGGATTACGATAGTGAGTACTTTGAAATCCATTTACTCACCATTACCACCACTGAAGCAGTAATCAACAAGCTCAGATGTTGATTCGCGTGACATAGAAAACCGGAAGAGTTGGTCTCCGACAGTGGTCCTCAGTTTACTAGCACTGCGTTCCAGGCGTTCGCAACCAAGTGGGAATTCATGAGCAAGGAAACCAGCCCATGTCACAGGCAATCGAATCGAAACGCAGAGTCAGCAGTGAAGTAGGCCAAACGGTTGTTATCAAAGGCTAGAGCAACTGGGGAGGACCGGTATCTCATGCTACTGGAGAACCGTAACACTCATTCAACGAATGTCGGCTTGAGCCCAGTGCAGCACCTATACAGTCGAAGGACTAGAATGATGATGTCCGCATCTGCCAAACTTTTGCGCACAGTTTCGCCACAGCATGAAATATTACAGAACAATCTGAGAAGACGAATCACCGCAGAGAAACGGTACTACAGCCGCGGTGCACGGATGCTGCCTGAGCTACTAGTGGGGGAGTAAGTGTGGGTTCAGCCAGCACCCGACGGTCAGGAGCGATAGAATGAAGGTGCGGTGACCGCGAGGGTCGGTTCAAGGTCATACGAAATAGTTGTTGAAGGGAAAACGCTCAGAAGAAATCGAGTGCATTTGAGACGACGCCGGAGACAACAAAAACGACTGGGAGTGGAACGCTTGATGGAGTGTGGTAAGGAGAGCATGGCAGCAGATACAACCAAAATGACGCGGAGTGGCAAGGTGTACTGGGTGTATAGCAATATGGAGGCACATGGACAATAAAAATCGGAGGATATGATGGGAGTGTCATACCAGTGAAGAGAGGGGCCAACCGAGCAAGTCAGATAGCCAGTGAAAGGCGGGTGTAACTGGTTTGATTGCTGGATATGGATTGGCTAACATTCATGTGAGTTAATCATCGTTTGTTTAATTGAGTCAAAGGAAGAACCTCATTGCTTCAGAAGGTTCGTTAGTTATGGAGGCGAACGCGTAACTTATATAGATGAGTTTCGCTTGCCAACGGTGCTGTAATTTTCGCCTGGTTTCCTTTGCCGACTAAACGCTTGTACCTGAAGGACTGGGTTCTGCAGCAATAGGGATGTTTGTCGGTGGGATATAAATCTCTATAGAAGGAATAACTTAGGGTTGCTTTCTTATTGTATCACTATGAACAACTGATTGCCTTTAAGGCAAACCGTAAAGTAAGACAGGCTTCCAGTACCACATTTGTTATATATGCGAACCAACTTTTTCTAGTAAACTGTAATGTAACCATAGTATCATAGTTTAGATCGTTATGGTAAAGTCTTATCACCAAGCAAATAATATAAATGGTTTGAATGCCGAGTGATCTAAAGCCAGTTAGGGTAATGAACATGTGTGTAAGAAGTGTAATGTCTTCACTTAATAAATTCCCTGTTTTGCGCCTACTTTTCGAACTACCCTGGGACTAGCAGATCGGCTAGTCAACGTAGTCTGGTAGTCGCAACCTACATGCATTACAACACTGGAAACCTTACAACACCATTCAAGACGCACCGGGAGGCACTAGTAACGTGTAAGTTGATTTGAACTTAACCCAAAAGCCACTCCCAGTTAGATCAGCAATAGAATGAACGTGTCCCATTTGTTCCTGACATTCAGGCTTATGGGTGCACATCATGGGAGCGCGGTACTTTGGTGATCCGATAGTTGTTGTCAGTCAAGTTTTTTGAGATAACGTTTCACTGTTTTGTGCCCCCAATGACAACAAAGTTCTTAGTGAACCTGCCGAAGTACACTTTCAAAAGGGAATATATTCACCTTAACTTAGTCCCTGGAGAGTGGTAGAAAGACTAGAACGGCATACAGAGTGAAAAACTAGGGTTTTGCATACTGGTACGGCAAAGATGGGTCCTGCACACTTGCTCGTCTGCACTTAGTAAACTGTTCCCATTCCATCGGTCACATCCCCTACGAACAACCTTGGGTAACCCACCTTATTGGCAGGATGGCAAAGGTGGTAGATTTGTCTGTTGTAGCCTAGCGATTGTTCGATCGAGCGTGCACCCTTGGTTCAGCTGATTTGATTTACCGGGCAGATAACTGCTGTCAAAAAACGCTGTAATATGGTCATCAGTGAGTGGTATGAGATGCATTCTGAAAATGCAGGGTGCTATACGATTGCTGTGATTTCCCCCGAATCGACAAACGCAGAGATCATAATAAACACGAGGTCAGCCATCAGATATACCTGAACAGTTTGTCATGAACTCAGTAAACGAGAAATGAATAAAAGGGTCAGGTTTAAATGAAGCTCAATCAAATTCCTCCGGTACGATATAAAGGCAAATATTCGCATCCATTCAAGACAAAGGGCTCATGACCGGATAATATCCACCAGAACTCTTATGGTGTCTACAAATAAAAGGACCTTGAGGGTCTTCTCGGGTACTATTTAATTTGGGGCCTTAACAGCGCCCAGGTATACTCTATAGGAACTGCGTTTTTTAAGCAATCAAACTGCAACCATTGACATAGTCGCTGCATCGGGGACAAATTAACAGCGCGGCTTATTTTATGCCGTAGAGGGTCTGTTTAGCAAAATGCAGAGCTAATTGTATCGGACGGCACAGGACATCCACGAATTGCTCATCGGTTGATGATAGTCACGTAAGGTATCCGACTGACGCGCATAAAATCCATTAGCAATGACGGTTGGTAACCTTAGGACACTCCATTAGCATGTCCAACAAGGACAATGAACCATAGGACGTACTTTCTTCCGCTGTTAGATACTATCTGCATGACTTTGCGACAGATATCTTACAATTCAGGCGGTGGATAAGTGCAAGTCGATTTGCGCCTATCCGGTATGATGACCCTAAGGACTTTGTTCATTACAGTGCGGATAGAATCACTTTCACGATACGTATTTTTAGAATCAGAATCTGATACGCTTGGGAGACAAGTGATTTCAAACACGGCTTCCGGATTCCTCAATTTAGTGCGAGAAAAAGTGAGTTACATGTGTGTGTATACACAATATACAACTGTGATGAACTTCCCGTGCATCTACTGCTTTGAGTCGTTGGTTTCGGGTTCTTCAATCTCATGATGCCCTTTGTATGGTCAAATTGAATAGAATCAAGCAATTTCACCTGGTGGTCAGCAACCATCCACAGTCTAACGGAACAAGATGTCCAGAGTGAGATTAACGCTTAACTGTTTGACAAGCCTCTTGTCGGCAGAACGACAACAGATTTGACTACTCGGTTCAGTTAGCAAAATAAAAATAACATTTAAATGTACATCGCACTAATTGAGGGAAGTCAAGTGGTGCGCTGTCCCAGGTGTGCTGACCATCACTCAGCGAACATCACCTATTATTCCAGATTTGTGTCCTCGCGTGTGAGTGAATGTCACGTTAGGGGTACTCCTCGTCCACGCTTGACACAAAAGTGCATTTTCTCATGTGAGAGACACGGTTACAAATGCATCACTGACCTTTGAAAGCTGCTGGCCGAATTCATCCAGCTTTTGCTGCAGTGGGGTTTTGTCCTGTTCCGTGTCCATCATTTGGTTGCGAATTTTGCCAATTTCAGTCATCAGTCCGGTGCCAATGACTACGCCCTTCGCCTTGCCTGCGGCAATGTTGGTCCCACTGAAGAGGATATTTTTCTTGTCTTGGTTGACAGCGCGAGGATCCGGTACCGCGTCGGTGAACTTAATCACGGACACTGATTCACCAGTCAAAATAGACTGGTCGACACGAATTGTGGTGCTCATGATCTTGGTGATTCGCATATCAGCAGGGACTTTGTCACCCACTATCGAATTGAATAAAGCGTTTAAGACAAGACACGTTAAATTTTATCGGGTGACCGTTAGAACAGAAATAACATGTACAAAGCTCTGCTCATTCAAGTTATCGTGTTTGAGGATGTAACTAATTTGTCGACCACTAAGATAACTCTCCAGCGAAACCTATAGAAGTTGGCGCTGAAATATCTGAGCATAGTGCATGAGTTACTGCTTGTAGTTTACCGATACCGCCGGTAAAAAGGTGTTGTTTTGTTTGAACAGCCCAGCAATTATAATGCTCTGGGTCAAAACGAAAATTATTCCACGCAGGCTTTTTCTATTATACCTTACGGGAAAAAATAATACATACAGATCTACCATGTAGTTCCTTAGAGATAAAAAGCTCACCAGTTCCTTGGAAATTAGCAAAAAAGAAGTATCTAATTTTTATTGTAACGCCTAAGGGCTAATTCTTTTAATGGGATCGATTGTATCAACAACAAAAACACAACGGGATGTGCGTTTTGCGCATGAACTGAACCAATCAATACCTTGAGAAACACTGTTTACGAAAGGTTCATGCATTTTAATTCCCACCACGTTTACCCATGTGTTGAACGCATGATTCGAAAATGAATGCCGTGTGCGCACCCACATCTTTCTGACACACCGCATCTGGTCGCTTCATTGTTCTCGCTTTAGTCAGTAAGAAACTAGAGCCGCTATGTAGCATGCAAGGCGCACTGATGTCACTCGTGCCCTCGTCCGAATTTTCGTTCGGAAAATCTCGAGGACATTTGAAATAGCTGTTGCATGTAGGCATTAGTTAATCGAGTCCACTTGCACCGTTGGTACTGGGGACACTTAGGTGGTCTAACTCGCATCGAGGTAACCGAATGGTCCACCGTATACATCTTGATAGATAACAGTTTGTTAGTTGATCACTTGCGTATTGGGACCCCAATTAAATGCAGGTTGCCTTACTTGTGCAATAAAATAGGATGAGGCCATGTATGCTACTTGGTCGCATGGTGAGTAGCAAATTCATCCGTTCACACAATTCGCCCAAAAGTGGCGAAGGCAAACTTCGGAAGAGTTGTCTAAGTTATCAATGGTTTAAGAATTTACGACAGTTGATCTTAACTAGTGAAACGGGTGAAGGTAAGTATATCGCTGGTTTTCTGCATTGACATGAAAGACGGGACAGGTTCCTTAATACAGCCATTTCCAAGTATGTTCAAGTGACATTTTTGTGATACTTCTAAAGAGCAAATTGACCATGGAGTAAGAGCAGGGCGCTACATGGATTTACTTGTTGGAAATGCTGGGTCTAGCAAGCATCAAAAATTTTAATGGTGAGAAACCTCAGCTAAATAGTGGTTTTGTAAATCAGGTTGTAACGTTGTTTTATGACCCGAGAAAGAAGACGCATAAAGCTGCCAATAACGCAGGTTGGTTGGGTTGGAAAACTTACACCGCTGACCTAGAAAGCAGAAATATTTAGAATTAAACGTTATGGTACATTTTGGTAAATGCAGTGCTGTTTAGATGCATAAACAGCATAACAAAAGTGGCACCATATATGTATGTACATTTGCTCATCGGTTGTGAAACTATCAGTTTATCTTTTGGCCTGTTACATCTTGTCACTCAGGTTTGCTTTGAGAATGCATGCAGTTAATAGTTGCCAAACATTGGTCAACAAAATTCACTTCTGATTCGTAGGTTTGGAGAATGCAGCAATTGTTGTTTAGAAAATAAAGTGTATCATCAGTTCACAATGAACACGACGACATCGGTACTAGCCTAGAGTTTTCTGTGCAATTATGACTCGTTAAGTTGGCTTCAGCAGCGAGGACAAGAGTTGGCGGAACCTGTCTAGGTCACCCTCAATATAGATTCGAACTGTTGATTTAGTTTTGATGAAACATTATGAAGAACAGCGCACAACAAGGTTTTTAGAGGTGAGTTAACAGGCCAATACATTACGAACGAATGACATGAACGCTGGTCGAAATCATGAAGGCGAATGCCAACCACTGACTTATATGTGAAGATTAAAAGTACTATAGGAAAATGTGGTGTTGATACAATAAAGTGCAAGTGTAGCGCCTGACCAAGGTTTTTCCACAAATATGTCATCGTGCCATAAGTGAAGAGGAGTCTGAGACAGTTTACTGCGTCTCCTACACTTATGTCTTCATTTGATGGACACGGTCTCTGTTACGTAAGGTGACTGTACCAGTCCTCCACTCGTCGTTTAAATGGTGAGAAGGTTGGGGGCATTAATTACGTTCGCTGGAAGGGAGTACGCGGGCTGCGATGTTCAGAGCAAGGAAGTTTATCATCATTCTCGAGAGACTTTCCTCACTATCGCGAATAAGTTAAAGATACCAGAAACATTGAAGTAAGCTGATGTAAACAATACATGAGCTACCAGTAGCCTACTGTCAACTTATCCTTTCTTTATCACTACCCGTGAAATTAAACATGTGCCTGTGCAACGTACTATCCCCTACTCTACTTATGACTACACCCAAGTTTCAGTACCTAGAGACTTTGAAAACAGTGACACAAATATCCGTACGTTTTGCATTGTGAATGATCGGGTCAGGAGATGTCATGATCCAAAATTTTGTGGTTATTCCTTCATTTTTATTATTCTATTGTAAGCCGCATAGACCATTACGCTGTTTCTGCGTTCAAATGCTCGCTCCCGCTTAGAGGCCGTATACCTCATATCGGTAAATCTGCGAATTTATCTATTAGATGACCCCATATAAATGTGTCTTGGCAGGGCTTCAAGGTGATGGTAAGTGGGGTCGGGGTTTTTCATGAGCTGACACACCATAGTAAAAGCACCCGAAGACGCGGGCAACGTACGCTTTGCTCTCCTATTGTTTTCAGCCTAAATAAGTAAGGAAGGTGGGACAAGTTCATAGGTTTCCATGTTGCTTTGCGTCGTATAGTCTGAACCGCTGTGCGATGGCGGTTCTACCAAAGCTGCCACGCTTAGTTAGCGGAATCCAGGCGCGGACTCACGTACGCGCCAAGTATGGACTCAACTTTTCAATTGATGAGAAATATACCTAGTATTATTAATAGCGGAAATATTGGGTGTCGAACTTTCCCAACTCCTAGCGCGAGAGTCCAAAATGCGAACTTCTTTTCACTGATGCTCCTTCAGGCTGCGTCAAAATGTTAAGGTAATCTTGCATGAGCACGCCGAACTCCAACTCATGTAGAGCGCCCTGCATAATTGGTGACGTTAGCAGGCAGTCCTTACTGTTCTGATGGCGCATGCTTAGAACTTTGCACTCGGCTGATTACTGCAATTTTTCGGTGGACCGTATGTCAGCTCTATTTAAACCACCCAATTGGTCTTTGCCTCGCACTGCTGAGGAATAAAACGTTTATTCATTTATTATTTATTTATCTCCTATTTCAGTGATAACATGTCATATCTCTAGATCATCAGTGAATAGCTGAAACTTTTAAGAAATCTCCATTCCGAGATCTTTTATGAAGACTAGGAACAGATGTGGTCCGACTATCGAACTTTGGGTAAACCGCACTGGACCACGATTGGGTCGGATATGGTGCTGCGAAATTTTAGACAACGTCTAACAAGAAAGTGCCGTATCTGACCCAAGACGTGATCATCGTTTCAATAGTTCTGAAGCTTATAACGTAGACCGTAAGGATACGGACTGCTAAATGTGTCTGAGGAATCTAACTGGACAGCATCTACTCTTATGGCAGTATTGATATATTCCGTCTAGCGAACACGGACTAGTAGTAGTTTCCTGGTGCATGAGCGATTTTGGCGAAATCCGTGCTGCATCGGAGCGATAAGATTTTTACAGTTCATGTATCTTGTGAGTACCTCAGCGACAATGGACTCCTTGATCTTGGAGATCTCCGGAAATTGTGTTATCGGCGATATTCGTCGGTTCTACTTTTTGTCGGCTAGAACGATAACCGTTCGCCTCCACTTCGTGGGAACCCCCATCTCATAAAGACATCGTTGAAAGAATCTGGCTAGCGACTTAGCTAAACTTATGGCAGCCTCCTTCAACGCCTATGGATAAATGGCGTCTGCACCAAGCGAGTTGTACTCGATCGAGGACCTCAGCCGCTTTAGTATATCCGAGGTAGTAAAGGATGCGTGATCAACTCCAGATGGCTGTATGATCTGCTTAAGTTGAATGCAAGAAGTCGGCACACTGGAAGTTACAGTTGAATTATTGTCCAAATACATGAACCGTCTCATGTGCCTTTTGTGTAAGTCCACATGCTGTGTAGAGCAGTAATTCCATGCGACATTCGCTCAGGTGTTTGGAAAGTAGCCTACAGTTAGACCAAGCTCCTGTTGGTGAATCACTCTGTCCCCTTGGATGAGTTTTACAAATCCGGTTGACCGAAAACACGATGAACTGCTACGACTTGTTTTCTTTACTGCACGATGCCCCTATCTAATCCGAAACCTTCCCTGAGCAGAGTTGATCACCTAGCGACTTTTCAAATCCTCATGAGCCCTCCTCATGAACCACAGCCGCTGCCATTCCCGAAAGTTGACCAAAGTCCGGTGTGCCAGCAGCCAAAAATTCCAAGCAATATAGACCAAGCAATAGACCACTGGATCTTTTTCTATTTAAATGTGCCGTCAGCCTTACACCTTAATACAGATAGATGGGTTATAGTCTCTGTTGATGAGAATACCATGGTGAATTCGCCGTTAACAGTTTGATGCACCTAAACGCCTAATTTGGTTCTTGTCAGTTTTCACTTAACCATACATGTTGTTGCGTTCGCTATTCCAGTTTGCTCAAGGGTGTCACGTTAAGTGAGTTGATCCAGGCGACTGTAGAGCCTCTCGCTTGTCAAGAATGAAATTCCGGCCATCAAATACACCAACCGGCTGTCCATAAACTTTATGGAAAAAAAACTGATTAACGATCGATTCCAAAGGCATTAGTCTTTATTGGGAACGATTGCATGTAATGTCCCCTGCATCAATGTATAA